GATAGGATGGTCAAGGATAGGCAGATTGCATGATGATGCCTTTCCAAGGAAAGCATGGGAGAAGGTCAGATTTGGGGGAAACAAAAGATGTTTTTTTTTTTTTCCAGCAAGAGAAGGATGCTTGAGTCTGAGGAATTTGTGGGAATTCAGAAAGAGGGTAATGCAAGCCCAAGTATACAATTAACATTTCTTGTCTATGCAACTCTTCCATGGCACATGAACTTGTCTACATGTGGTAGCTTACTTTCTCCTCAGCTTCCTGTGATAGAAATGCTATCAGCACCACACTTTACAGATAAACAAATTGAGATGTAGAAAGTTTAAATAAGTTCCCCAAGTCATATCACTAGCAGTTTTTTTTTTTTCCATCTCAATCCAAAAAGGTAGCTGAAACCAAGGGAATCTTCATGGACTCCCATGGAAAACACATAGAAACAATAGAACTGCAAATGTGACTCTTGGGAGGCAGAGACATGAAAGAATTTGCAGAAAAGGAAGGACCATGAAAAGATGCCAGGGAAGGGTAATAATGGTAAATGTGTACAAGGGAAAGATTCTAGTATGTTCAAATGCAACAGTCTAGATACCCACCTCTGGAGAATTTCTTTACAACATTATTTATAATCCATCTATATTAATCTATGGTATTATACTGCAGCCTTTTTTTTTCCCCCTTAATGGTATTACAGGACAAACTTTACTCACTGAAATAAAATATTTGATGTATTATGGGCAAATAAAATCAGGTTACCAAATAGTAGAGGTTAATTTACATTTTTGAAAATGTGTGTGTGTAGAATGGAGAGAATTATATATGTTTCCTTGAAAGAAAAGACTGTTATACAAATGTGTTAACAGTGTTTATTCATGAAGGGGTAATTTTAAAAAAAATGTATTCAATAAAAATGTATTAATTTTTAAAAGGAGAAAGTACTAGGTGGTTGAATTGCTTGTTGGAAAAGCTTAAGGGGTAGAGCATTTCTGGGAAAAGAAGATGCTGTTTCCGAAGACTCACTTCTAATCTATGAAGCCACAGAAGAGAAGGTGAAAGTGAAGTTGTGCAGTGATATGCTAGAATGACTTGAGAAACTCACACTGGGAACTAGAGCCTTTCTAATTGTGAATTCTAGGCAGGTGACTTGGATTGCCTGCCTCCTGTGTCCCTCTTTGTCTGTGGGAGGTTTGGGTCTTGTCTTTCTGAAGCCTGAGTGACCAAGAATTTTTCCTTGATGTAGTGTAAGAGCTAGTTCTTCCTTTTTTCTTCTTGCATTTAAAATGGAGGAAAATATTTTCAGCTTTTCACAAAGGGCTTTGAAATCTAGTCATGGAAAGTACTCTGTCACCTCAAGCTGGTTGTTAGTGTGCAACTTGTTTGCTAATAAACCAATGCAGGACCCCAATGTCAAATGCTTAAAATGGTCAAATCAATGGGGACCCCATTTCTGCATTTGACATGCCTTTTCCATTACCCAGCCTCATGCAGAACATAAACCTGAGTCAGGAGGTGGCTCGATGTGAACTCTTATAAACTGGAGTGGGTATCTAGGGATTGGGGGGCAGATACTTCTTCTTTTAACCTTTCAAGACCAAGAATCATTTGGCCAAGAATGTACAACGTATTGAACTTAGGGTGTGAAAGCCATTCAGTGTATTAAATGTGAATTTGAGATCATGAATTCTACCCACACTGACTCTATAAAACAACCTCCCTTTTTCATAAAGCAGGCCCATAAACTGCTGCCAGCGAAGCAGAAAGACTCCTTAGGACTGTGGCTCGCCTTCCGTCTGGGGTTGTCAACAAACCCCCTTTATGAGTGGAATAGACCTCTTGTATGTGTCGAGCTTCTGGCTTTTTACAGAGTGTGTTAGGAGCCAGGCTAGGCAAACGTTAGGCGCTGTTTGCTGAGTGCATTTATTGCCTTTGCATAATTTATGAGCTGGAGGGGTTGACCATCATTCGTCTCTGCCAGGGGCTGGCACTCGAGGCTCCAGAGAGCAGAGCTGTAAATTGGATGGTGCGCTCCTGCTGAGCTCACGGCAAAGTCCTCGGGTCAGTATGGGAATTTAATACTAGAAATGGAACTGTTTTCTCAGCACACCATGTGGGCCCCAGTGCAGCAGAGACTGTTTTGGCAGACTCTGCGACTGGCCTTGTCGAGGAGCTGTCACTCACCGGGTGTGTTGTATGGGGAGCCTGAGCATTTTTAATCGGCTTGGCATCCGTGCTGCTTCCATAATGGATACCAGTAGGTCTCAGTTCTTCACCATATGCTTAACTCTGGAGACAAGGTGCTTCTGGGTATATCAGTAATTACTTGATGCAGAATTAAGTGGACCTTGAAATTAGAACTGGACTGTTGGAAAGCAGGAAGCTTAACACTTTGATAGAAATAACCATTCCCAGGGACATACTGCTGATAGGAATGGGGGTGGGGAGAGAGGCCTGGACAGTTGTGGTTCTTTCCCAGCTTCCCTACTCCTTTGACCCTGTGTATCCCAGCCCTTGAGATGTGGGCAAGTGCTATGACAGAGCCTTCAGCTGTCACTGATAGTGTGACAAGACAAGCTGTGAACATCTGGGAAAATATACCTGCCTGGCAAAATACTCTTGTCTTCCACACCTTTCCTGCATCATGCTTTGCGACTCTTGAAAATTTGCCTGGAACTAGGAACCTAAGAAAACTTAATTAAAGGCAATGGAGAAACCACACAGTTCAGAGAGCTATTATTCCTCCTCTGTCTGTTTCAGGTCTTCAAAGTCTTTATCTCACCCATTTTCCTTCTCAACTTATTTGACTGATTATAACAAAGAAATTTCTCATCAGGCAAAAGAGTGTAGGTTTAATTAATCTGAGGGCGGAAGCTTGATCAAAGCACTGTCAGGAGAAATCTGGTAACCCTGTGGCCTTGAGGAGCTAGTGGAAAAAGGAGAAAATGGTATAGTCTCCAGGATATCAAGTTGCAATGTGAGTTCCTATATGTTTACAGTACAGAGAAAACTTTGTCCAGGAAGAAATGTTCTCAAATTGGGTTTTATAATAGCAAGATGTCCATTTGGTTACGGTTTTGTCACTTTATGTGGAAAGCATGTTAATGGTGGTTGTAGCAATTAAGTAACTTACTGTTGTGTGTTACCTGACTAAAATAAGCACTGAAGCAGATAGGTTCAAGTGGCTGTCTTTACTGGGCACTTTCTTCCCTTGACCCCACCATATATATATTTTTTAAGATATATTTATTTATGCATAAAGAACTGGGGTACAAGCCAGATGTGGGGGAGGGTGAGAGGATTCACCAGAGACAGAGTGGGGAGCAGAACAGGCAGACTGACTGAAATACACAGCTGAGGAGGCAATGGCTGAGACAGGAGAGGTCTGCTGCACAATGTGGGTGAGATGACCATGGCCGGGAGTCAAATGGCTTTAACCTGTTGAGCCACCAGGGAGGGCCTGGCCCCACCATTTTGTTTCTGTACCAACACTTTTTGCTTGTTTTTGCAAGATAGCTGTTACAGATCTGGACACTGCTTCCTCATATATTAAAAGGATAGAGACGAGCACTTCTTTCCACCTATTCTGAGGAGGAACATTTTTCCAGGACCCTCAGCAGGCAGTTCATAGCCAAACAAGAGTGTTATGGCTTCCCATTGACAGGGAATATTGGGTTTTTCAATCTCAGGAGAAGGTGTGGTGAATGGCTGTGGTACCTAACCAGCAGTGGCTGTTGTATAAGCAAATTTATATTATGTTTCTGTTCATAGCTACATAGATTACTGTGTCCAGGTGGCCACACTAAAAAATGCTGGCATCATCCTATATTCATCCCTCTCACTTGCTTCTCCATATCCCTAATTATCAAGTTCTGTTGGTTCAGCTTTTGGAATTGCTTTACCATGCACTTGTCACAAGTACCCTGTAGCCTTAGAAAGTGTTGCAGTTGCCAGCGTGGTTGTCCATGACCTGCCTCTTTCCCCAGAATGCACCATCTTTCCTCCACCCCACAGGGAGAGTCCTCTTGATGGATTAATGCTCTGGTCCTGCACACCCCTGCTCAGTGTTTGTGTTCTCGTTATCTCTGCTGCTTAAACTGAAAGCTACTTTAGGGTTATGCCATGATTGAACATCTGTCTAGCTTAGCAGCACTTATCAAGGACTATTGAATAAATGAATGGATATATTCATCTATTAAGCATTTACTCTTTAACAAAACACATCTACTTTCCCAAGCTTTAAATATTGGATAACAAAACATTCTTGGTTTAAAAAAAATAAAATTCCCCTTCCCTCCTCTTTTATTTTTTGATGAGTAATCCATTAAAATTAACTATCATTCTCTGGTGAACCTAAACCCAGGTCAGTAGATGGAATGTGGATTCTGTTTGATATACTGTAAGTCTCCTGACCTTATTTTGGTCCTGAATTACTGATTTATTTCACGGACTTCATGTCCTTGACACATGTTCTCTGAAGAGTATACCCTTTTTTCCTTGGGGAGCTAAATTCTGGAAAAGGCACAACTTGTAAGTGGTGAGCCTTGCCCATTATGTTCTGTTTCCCTCAAAATCCAAATGACAGCATGCAATGCCCAGAGGTTTACCACTTTTCCTCTAGAAAAGCATCATACCACAACTTACATTAACTGAGGATAGAATGTTTCTATTAAGAAATTGAGTTTTGCTCTGTATTCAGTGATCTTGGTTCACTTTAGGGCTATGGCCAGGTTGGTTCCTCAAAGGTCATTCCCTCTGCCACACAGTGGACAAACTCACTAGTGTGTCAAGTGCTTTTCTGAGGTGACCAGGGGGAAGAGTCACAGAGATGAAATCTCAGAGCAACCTGTCAGTAAATTTTGTGTCTAGTTGTGTTTGCCAGTGCTTGAGCTGAAGAAGCTCATTCCAACTCAGACATTCCCCACTCCCTTTTCCTATCTTTCTGTATTAAAAGCAAAAAATACTCAGTTTTTGTACTAACCCTTAGTCTCTTGTCTTTTTTTTTTTCCAGTGTGACAGCGACAGTGACCAGGAAGAGAAGGTAAGACCCCTCCCCACATTGTGGGCAAGTACATATCACTGTGAACATCATGGCTGTCCATACATAGCTGCAGGGTAGGGGTGCCCACTTCATGGTGACAGCACTTTTTCTTCTACAAAGATGGGCTTTATGCACACAGTGACATTTTTTCTGATAAGAAATAACAGGTTTCACTTGTCCATTTTTTTAAGCAAGCCTTTTGGTATTGCATACATATGACACTAAAGTTTTACATTTAAAAAGTGTTTAAAGGAGAAAATGATTTCTATTTTAACAGCAGTCTGACTTTTCTTTTTTTGGCCTATAACTTGAACATTAAACTGCTAGTATCTATTTATAATGTCACTTTTTCATTTCTTTTACTGACCATGTGCTTTTCTGTACACATGGGCCTTCTTGATAGAAATGTCAGTAGTATGTGTACACAAATTTCATCAGGGATGGAGGGGTGACTGGGGAGGTCAGATGGGAATCACTCCCCTCTTCCCAGGTGGGTGACCCTGTGGGAGGGCAGTTCTTCTAGCAGGTACATATTCTGGTTCAAGGCCGATGGCCACCAGCCTCTGTATCCAGTTCAACGTGGATCAAGAGAAAGAGTTCAATTTTTTTGAGTTTTCAGAAGATTGGACCACAACCTGGTAAAGTCAATCTCTGTTGACAAGGAATTGTTTGTCTGATTGGTCTCTCTTTTGAGCTTTCCCAACCCCCAAACTAAATTTCTTTCTGGTTTTAGTCTTATTTTATGTATTTCTAAAGTTACTTGAATGTCATGGTTTTTGTACTGCTTGCCACCAGAAGAAAGGGACTAATCCCTTCTTCCCTGGTTCCTGGGTATCCCTGCATAGCTGGCTCTCCTGGGCCTTCTTCTCAGACTTTCACCTCTTATGTTCTTGCAGATCTTACCTAAGATCCTGCGGTTACTGCTTAGTGGGATCTTTCCATCAAGACCAGAATTTTCCCTCCTCCACTGCCAGCCTCCAAGAGAGATCTAAAGGCTCTTGTTCTGTACTGTCGTTAATTTGAATTCAGCATATGTAGCCTGTTATAAAATGCGAGACATCATCATTTGAGCAGGTCAAGCATATTCAGATGAAGACAAATGGTGCTTATTTGATTTCCTTAAAATCAGGAAATGAAAAAAGTGCTCTCTGGAGAAATCATGTTCTGCCTGACTTGGATGATAGACCAATGCATGTCCCTCAGATAAGAACAGGCTCTCGCCTTGAGGTTTTTATCTCTGAAGGACGGCCAGGACTGTCAGCTTGCTGACATGTGCATTATCCATGTCATTTTAAACAAAGTGACCTATGGAAGGGCGCGCTGCGCTGTGACATGGTAATGGGCTGTTGGATGACAGCGAAAGCACACACTGGAAAGGGGCTGTGGATAATTCTTTTGTTTAACTGACAAGTAGGAACTTCCTTCCTCCAGCCCCAGGAAGTCTTAGCTCCTTGGAAGTGGGTCTCCTGGTGTCGCAGGCAGAGAGAGAGTATAGTGGGTGCCAGAGGTATGTGGCTAGCAGGAGTGGATCAGTGTTCAGGGTGTATCCACTGGGCCCTAAGACCGCACTGGCCGTGTTTCCATGTGGCAGATATCACCTCTCTCTGGAGGAACTGCACATTACGGGAGATCTCCTACAGTTGATTGCTGATCTCACTTTCAGGTCAGTGATACTTCTCCAAGAGGATGATGAGTTTTCAGAGTTTTATAGTCTCATAGACATTGCATCATTTGTATAAAATAAAAGGCAGTGTGAATTCCAGAGGTGTCCTGTCTCCAGCACTGGGAGGAGATGATAAAGCTGCCAGACTTGGTGTTTTGTGTAGGAGGCTTTTGTTCATTCTCAACCTTGGCTGCACATCTGAGACTCCCATGAGTTGTAAAATGCCTGATGCCTGGACCTCATCCCAGGCCAGTTACATCAGCATCTCTACCTAGGTACTACTGGTCTAGACGGCTACCTAACTCTAGTAATTTCTACAGAAGAGCTTCCCCTGGCTGTCAGATGGATCTGAAAGCCAAGCTGTTTTCTGCTGAGAGCACCTTCTTAGATCTTTCCTGGGACCTGATTTGGGAGTCAGTGGTGCGGAGTTTTCCATCTCTTGAGTGCAGGAAGCAGCAACATGTATGACTGGAGTAATAGTCCATGGGAAGGTAGCCAGCACCCACCACGCAAAGTGTGTGGTGATTTCAGGCAATAGAAAAGAATAAAGAGATATTTACAGGCAAGTCCAGGATAGGGGCACAGAGCAGGGAAAGGAAAGGCACTAATTGTGTTCCTCAGATGCTCCTATTTTTCCTATGGACTATTGGGGCCCTGCAAGTCCCCTTCTTTTTAACTAGAGCCACTCCACATCATACTCATAGCAGTCATCCCTGCTCTGACACCCAGCATTTCTCCAGAGTGCTTCCAACAGGGGCAACAAAAACTCTTTAATTGCTGCTGTGCCTGCCTAGCCCTGTTATAGTTAAGACTGCCAGGCTTCCCCTTTTGGACTGAGAATGCCTGGTGTTTGTCGCCAATTTTAGCACCATTCTCCCAGACTTCTGCTCCATGTTGTCGCCTGGGCCCTTGTCATATTCCTCAGTGCCAGTGCCTCTTTCCTGGGCCCCCCTGGAAGCCTCAGAGCCAAGCAGGGCTGCTTTCATCTGCTGCTTGGAGGATTCGCATTCAAATCTGAATTGCTAATGGTGGAAAAGATGCCACTCAGTGTCCTGGGATCCCTTCAGCAAGACCCACCAGGGATGCTGTGGGAGGCAAAAGTGAGACTTGTAGGGGATCCATTGGGATTTCTCTCCGGAAGACCTGTCATTCTCTTACTCCTTAGGGATCTGCAGTACCGGCGGTCTAAAATTAGGGTACTGTATTTCGCACAGCTGACTGAATTAAGATAAACTCTGCTTTCCTCTGATACGAAGCTGTAATTTATAAAATGATACCCTTACTAATTAATGTGGAAGTGACTGGAAAACGGGGCCAAGAAAGCAGAATTTTTCTGTAAATGCAGAAAATGTACTTGCACGTAGAAAAGGCTTTGATGAGACACTGAGCGGAGCATCTCTTTTACCCTCCCCTCCCACCCATGTGAATACATTTCCCATTAGTGTCAGAGAAAGTAGAGGACTTTTGTGAGGAGTAAAAATTGGGTGGAGGATTAGAGAACGCTGTGAACATGCATCTTAGACGTGAGATTGTTCTTCGTTGTAGTTGGTGCAAAGAAAGGAGGTGACACTTGGCATCTTAATCACCCAAATTAAGCAATTATTTCAATCCCCTACTAGAAATCAATTAATATCATGAGAACAAAGAAGTAACATACATATTTCTACATATTTGGCCTATATTTTCTCATTATCTCTCTTTCCCAACCACTGGCAGCAGCCTATTATGCTAAGAAACGCCCCTTATTTGGTTGTGCAGGTTAAATGTAATTTTCTCTCCTTCTACGGTATTGCGCAGCCACCTGACAGTATTTGTTAGAAAGTGAACTGGAGGCCCCAGGCATCTGAGTATGCCAACCTCAGTGTGTTTCCAGCTCTGTCCCTTGTTACTTTGTAGGAGTACAAACCTGAGTTTTCTAATCTGCCAAATGGGGCAACAAAGCTCCACCGATCAATTTGTAGCAAGTGAAGGAAAGCACCTGGCTGCATGGAGCCTGGGCCACAGAAAGAACTCCATAAATGTTAGCTTCTGTTTGTTTTACTTGGGGACAAGTGTGGGGGTGGCTTGGGGGAAGAGGGCTCTCCCCCTCTTTGGAAGTTCTATTTCTGTCAGAAAACTTCAGAGGATGTGAGAGGAGTGTGTGTGTGTGTGTGTGTGTGTGTGTGTGTGTTTTACTCCCTACCACAGCCCTAAACTCATCTTCCTGATACATGCTGAGTGGAAGATTGTTGAATTTGGAAGGGTCCCCCAAAAATATATTTAAGGAATTTATCCCCATTGTCTGGCTTTCCTCTGGGCACAACGTGGAGCCAGGAGCAAGCATTCCATCCGGGAAGGATCAAAGGTGATTACTCTCAAAGGTAATTGAGAGACCCCAATTTCCCATCACAAATTCTGAGCTAGTACATCTGCAGATCTGAAAAAACTTCCTCAATAATGTTGATATGCAATTGGTTTTGAGAACCACTGCCACATAGCAAGTGTCAAAGAGAAAAATCTACTTTTCCTTAGTTTAATGCTCTTAAGATTATGACAGCTCAGGAGAAAAACTTGGAAGCCTTAGAGGTGTTACGAGTGTGTGACCAATCTGCTTACAGATGTTTACAGATGAATTCTGTATACACACATGCAATGTAAACACACACAATCACTTCTCCTTTTTCTAAAGAAACTTTTACCATAATTCCTGATTGTAGCTTTCAGTTTGGGGGCTTTTTAAAGACAGTAATAATCATGTGGAAAAAGTTGCAGGATCCTGTGATTTGCTCTCCAGAACCTAGGACAGTTGCTGGGACATTGACAAATGTTGGGCCACTGATTTTCCATGCCAGCTTCCTCGCCTGCATGCACACACCTTTTGATGTTTTCTATTTTTTTTTAATTCTTGCTAAAATTGGTTGCATTTGGTCATTTTATGGTCAGTTGTGTGGGGTATAGTGTTTAAGAAAAACAGCAAAACCCAGCCAAGTCTTATGTTCCTAACTCAACACAAACCACATTTCTTACTTGGCTTCTGAAAGCCTCATAAACTGCTGAGGTATCAAACTAAGCTTGGGCATGTGTCTTGTGCTTATAGTGGAAGAGTCCCATCCCTTGATTGGCCTCGTTTCACACTTGGTAAAGATCGCCTCCTCAGCAACGTTCCAAAAGCTCAGACAGCCCCATTGTTCCTTGTAGAGCCCCCTCCCCCCCATTCTTAGTTTTGAAGTAGGACATGTTCTAATCAGGAAGAAACTTAGAGAAGCTGTACTGTTTTACATCTAGAAAGAGGAATTTTCTCCTCCTTTCCAGTTTCATAGCAGTTAACCAAACAACCATTATCCAAGAAATGAACAGGATTTGTGTTCTTATATTCCTATCCCTAGCCCTTTGCAGAGAGCATGGCACAAATTAAGTATTTGTTAATGGTCAGTGTTTGCTAAATTTAAATTTCATGTTCTGAATATTCATTTTGGAATGTTGAGGAGAAGAGGTAAACAAATGAAGTTCATTTCAATCCCATTGTTTATTTTCAGAACCCCAATAAATGTGTTGTCTGTTCTACAGCCTTCTGCGGTTCTTTTACAATTTATTTTCTAGTAAGATACTTTATTTATAATAAACTTTATAATAATAAACTATAAATTTTCTAGTTTATTTTGACAGTATCTACAACTTTGGGCAGAGTTTCAGAAAGAGCTTTCCATTTTGGGTGTCTGATTTCCATAATGTCCATCCACTCAACCTCTTCTTCCCCTTCATGATTATGTCCGGATCAAAAATAACATTTTATTGTCCTTCCAACAACATCATATTTCCAGCTGACTTAATTGCATCATATCTATCCAAATTTTCTATTGATACCACCCTTGGATTTCAACTGCAAATTATTTTAAATCCCTACTCTCATTAAGTTCTTCTCTTTTTCATATCATAGAATTTTCATGCCAAACCAAAAATTGCTTCACTCACATTGAATGTGTATGTAGATTATTCGCAAATTACTACCATGTCATACACCTGAAAAAGACAGATTATATATGTGCATATTTTTATTAAATATAAATCAGTAGAATGAATAGTCAAAGGAGTTATTGGAAATTGCCAGACGTCTTCAGCTAGTCTTGTTTCTTAGAATGAATAGTGAAAAGGAAGACTAGGTTGTTGTGGTTCTGTTGTTCATCAGGGATAAGTAATAGAGAAGGATATTCAGAAGACCTGGCTTCTAATTTCTCACTAACCAGCTGTGTGGCCTTGGGCGAATTACCTAATGTAGCAGAACCTTAGTTTTGTCATCTGTAAAATGAGACAGGCTCAGTGATCTAGCACTGACTGTCCTTGTTTTCTATG